TGGTGGAATTTATTTTTTGTTCCAATTCAACATATTGATAAGTTATACGAAAGTTACTGTTACGCCCTAAATTGAAAAATCAAGGGGGCAGCAGTTAGTGAACTTGTCTCTATCCTCACCCCAACTTTAAAGCCCTGGTGCAGGTAGTGAAAGGGTTCTTTGATAGAAAAAATGAAAGTACCCTAGAGGGGGGAGGATGAATAGGGTAATTGTTAATCTAATCCGATGTAGATGCCAAATATAAAAACTTATAAATGATATCCTAGCAATATGATATACAATAAGATTATGCAAGGATAAACAAGAGACAATAGGCGATAATTAACAATGAGATAATAGGCGATATAAGAATAGGCACAAGAATAATACGTCAAAGCCAAACGTAAACACAATATGATCACGGAGTTCGGTCTAACACTCGACCTACATCTCCGCTCCTCACCTCGAGGAGATCTCCATTATATCACAATACTACACAATAACGATTTTCAAAGGTCACCGATTACTTTTACAATACACACGATGTCAATCCCACAAGCCACACTCTAAATATTGGACTACCCGTATTACCTTCCTCAAGTGTTTGGATTTACAACCTCTCCATAGGTTTTACTACCAACCCACTCCTGTTGGAATTAACCTCGGTCTCTCCAACCACTCCTTTAAATATTCTTGTGTATTGCAACGTGTTTCAACAATAAGTGCGGATAAAGGATTTGTTCTCCAATACAAATGAGAACGAAATGTAAGCTCACTCTCAATGAAACACTCTCACAACCCAAATATACTAAATGTGAAATACTTAAGCTCAAGTGGTTGTGTGAAAACAATGAGTAAAAATAAAATTTAAACTCAAATAATTCTATCTTATATAAGATAATCAAAGTATAGACTAGCTAGAAGAAAAGAGTTTACAAAATTTTTCCGAAAAACAAGAGATGTAGATATTTGAGGATGAGAGCCTCAAAACTGAAATTGAGATCATTCTCTTCTGAAACTCTTTTCACAAAAACAAACACACTTAGATCTTTTAAAAACTTAGAAACAAACTGTCCAAAACCTCTTGTAAAACTCTTATGAAAAACTAAAGCTTGAGGACTATTTATAACCTAAAAAACAAAGCAAAATAGAAACTAGTCGTTATAGCAAATAGCCGTTGATCAGTCGACTGAAAAACATGGTCGGTCGACTGATCGGCTGTAAAACAGAAAGCTATAAAAAACTGCTACTGGTAAGTCGACTGAAAAGCATAATCCGTCGATTGAAAATACTATTCTCGGTCGACTGATTCAAGTAATCGATCGACTGATTTGACTGTAAAATCAGATGTTGTAAAAACTCGTTCTGGTCGGTCGATTAGATAGATTTTTCGGTCGACTGAACACTGACATATCAGATACTTGATTTTTCTTAAAAAGTTAATTTTCTAAATTCAAATTAAAATAGCAAATCAATTCCAAAAATAGTTTTAACTTTGGAAACATTTATATATATAAAAATAAACATGTTATAGAAAATTTTCTAAAATAACACTTCGCATTTGTGAAAACTCACTGTTTTTCAAAACAGTCACAAATACGAGTTTGTTAAATACTTGATTTTGATAAAATTTCTTCAAACAAGTTTTGAGATACTTTCAAATGGATTCATGGACTTTTGAAAAGATGTAAAACAGTATCATTAGTCAATAATCCGAAACACGTTATTTTCCCAAGAAGACGATAAATAAGGAACTAGTGTGTATGTAATAAATATATCTATTAGTTTCATATTTATATGGCTAAACTTGAAAGCGATAAAATAAAACGTGTATGTGTATGATTTGAGCTTTAAGCATAGCACATAAAATAAAAACCTAAAACTAATAAACACTATACCAAGCTAATGATCTTCATGAAGCTCGATCTTGGTAGCGGGATGAAGCACGATAGTGAGTCTTGATTTGAAATTTGAATGCGCAAAGCTTCATTATGATTTTCACCAACCTCCAAGATATCGACGTTAAGGCGCAAATCCAATCAACCTCCTTCCTGGATGCATGTGGGAGGAAAACACAAATAATAAAAACAAGATTAGGAATTATTTGTTAATCATTAAAATTAGAGTAGAAATAGGCTCATAAACATGTGACCTAACAATCTCCCTCTTTTTGTTGATGACAAACAATTTACATAAGGAGTATATAAAACATGCATGATACCAAATAAATATACAATTTATAATCCTCATGCATGATACCAATAGTAAGCAAAGAAAAACTAGAAATATTCACAACACACTTGTTTCTCCCTCTTTGTCAACATTAAAATGGAGAAAACAATAAGAAGAAAGAGAGCGTAAACTCCCCCTACATTTAAGCACGGTGAATATAAACAAATAGAGAAAAAACTCCCCCTATCAACAAACCACAGAGCATACATCAATTGACATATTTAATGCAATCATACACAGATATATGTCACTATGCTAATCACAATACACAACAATGTGTGAGCAAGAACACAAACTAAACATAAATCACACTTAAGGTGATCCAAAAGAGCACACATATATATATCACCATAAGAGTGTTTACAAAAGTCTCAAGTACCTACTAAATGAAAGATGAAATACATAGTTTTAGAACAAACCACAAGTTAAACACATAGTTTTCAAGCAAACCAAAATACAATAGTTCTCAACCAAATACATAAGTTCAAAAGCACACTAAAAAGGCAAACACATAGTTCAAAATTAAAAACAAAAGTCCAAATCATCGAGAATTTTGTCTTCAAGAATGCGATGGCCCAGAATCCGGAGATGGAGACCTTTGCTCTGGATAATGGTGCATGTACATTTTCAACAATTATTGTTGGACCCTCAACATTTCTTCTTGCCTACTCTTAATGCTATCAATGCGATCAACCATTCTATCCTCTATGCTCTCAATCCGATCAACTAAATAATTTAGAGTGGCCGGAATACTAGAAGGGTTGAAAGTTGAAGCACGAGGAGGACGTGAACGAGTCCTAGAGCTAGAGGGACGAGATGATGATTCAGCAATAGAAGCTTGAGGAACTAGAGGAGGTTCTAAGAGCCTCATCCTAGTAAAACTCGTGCGATCAAAAAATTCATTAATCGGCACGATAGAATGTTCATTTGTGAGATCAACATCAAAATGTTTGAAAATGCGAGAGAGAAGAGCCCCAAACGGAAGAAACTTAGTATGATTATACGCTATGATATCAAAATGACTTTACTCCACATGAATTTAATATTACCAAAAATAGCATACACAACAACCATCAAGTCATGAGAAAAATGATCATAACTCCTAGTTTTGAAAATTATGTTATAGGAGATGACACGGACAATTAATTTAGTAGTAGGTGTGATGAAGCTGTTTGACATGGGGTATTCTTTACCTGGAAGATATATCATAGAATTGATTGAATGATCATCAAGATCTAAATCTCCAAGTAAAGAGTCTCCAGTAGGAATGTTAAGGATTTCAGCTAATTCATCAGAAGAGAAAATCATTTGACAACCCTTAACATGAGTTTTGAGAATGGGGGTATTATCAGCAGTCTGATCAAGTACCATATTTGTATATTTGTGTAAAATAGGTAAATTAGGTTCGGATAATATGAGACTTGATTAGTATGAGACAGTAAGTCATGTAACCCAACGTTCTCAAAATAGGTATGTAATTGGAAAACATGTAACCTAGCGTTCTCAAAATTAGTATGAGAAAGTAAGTCATGTAACCCAACGTTCTCAAAATTGGTTAGAATGATTTGCACGTGACTTTGCAAACAAATCCATAAGTTTTTTATTATTATCAATGCATGTGTTTAAGGTTGAATCTAAAGAAGATATACGGTTTTTCATATGATTCAACTCATTATTTGGCACATTTACATTGACATTAGAAGTAGAACAAACATGATCATTTTTTAATGAGATAAGTTCATTTCTAATAATTTCTACTCCTAATATGGCATCCTTCTTATCATTAGATAAGCTAACATTATCCAATTTTAATTTATCATTGTTATCTTTAAGAATTATATTTTTTTTAGCAATGATATCAAATTTTGATGCTAGTAAATCATGATCGGATTTTAGATCTACATGCTTGCTTTTTAAATTTATTAAATTATGATGTAATTTGTTATAAGCATTCATTAATCTCTCATATGCACATGCGAGCTCACCTATAGAAAGTTCATTTTCAGATTCGGACTTGCATACCTCACTAAGGCAATCGCCTAGTGGTCGTGTGCATGATAAAGCTCCAATGTTGTCAATAGTTGCACTTGAAGCGGAATCTACCGGAATGCATTAGATTTCCTTCAAGTTACCGTGATGTGCTTCTATATATTTTCACTATGTATAAGCACTATCAAAGAAAGCAAGTTTGTTAGAAATAGATGGTTGAAAAGCTTTAAGCAAAAATTCTAATAACAACTTATTCATAGTAAACATCTTCTTATCATTTTTGCTTCACTTGGATTTCTCCAATGTAGGCATAATATAAGCACAATCAATAACTTCTCATAAATCGACATGTTTAGATCTAACAAATAGTTTAAATCTAAACATCCATTGAGCATAAGGGAAATCATTGAACGAATGAGTAACATTTATATCATAGTCTAAACTAGGTGTACCGTGTATATCCATGAAAAATATGCAAGCACGAAAAAAATAATCACAAAACTAGATTAGCAAAATACAAAGCGTGGATCTTTGACTCTAGGCGATAAATCCACAAATCAATAGCACTAATCTGATACAAATGAAAGTACCCTAGAGGGGGGGGTGAATAAGTTAATTGCTAATCTAATCCGATTTAGATGCTAAATATAAAAACTTATAAATGATATCCTAGCAATATGATATACAATAAAATTATGCAAGGATAAACAAGAGACAATAGGCGATAAACAATGAGATAATAGGCGATATAAGAATAGGCACAAGAATAATACGTCAGAGCCAAACACAAACACACAATATGATCACGGAGTTCTATCTAACACTCGACCTACGTCTTCGCTCCTAACCTCGAGGAGATCTCCACTATATCACAAATACTACACAATAACGGTTTTTAAATGTCACCGATAACTTTTACAATACACACGATGTTAATCCCACAAGCCATACTCTTAAGTGTTGAACTATCCATATTACCTTCCTCAAGTGTTTGGATTTATAACCTCTTCTTAGGTTTTACTATCAACCCACTCCTCTTGGAATTAACCCCGGTCTCTCTCCAACCACTCCTCTAAGTGTTCTTGTGTATTGCAACGTGTTTCAACAATAAGTGCGGATAAAGGATTTGTTTTTCAATACAAATGAGAACGAAATGTAAGCCCACTCTCAATGAAACACTCTTACAACCAAAATATACTAAATGTGAATTATTTAAGCTCAAGTGGTTGTGTGTGAAAATAATGAGTAAAAAAATTTAAACTCAAATAATTCTAGTTTATATAAGATAATCAAAATATAAATTAGCTAGAAGAAAAGAGTTTAGAAAACTTCTCCGAAAAATAAGAGATGTAGATATTTGAGGATGAGAGCCTCAAAACTGAAATTGAGATCCTTCTCTTGTGAAACTCATTTCACAAAAGCAAACACACTTAGATCTTTCAAAAACTTAGAAACAAACTGCCCAAAACCTCTTGTAAAACTCTTATGAAAAACTAAGGCTCAAGGACTATTTATAGCCTAAAAAACAAAGCAAAACAAAAACTAATCGTTACAGCAAAATAGTCGTTGATCACTCGACTGAAAAATATGATCGGTCAACTGATTGACTGTAAAACAGAAAGCTGTAAAAAACTGCTACTGGTAAGTCGACTGAAAAACATAATCGGTCGACTGAAAACACTGTTCTCGTTTGACTGATTCAAGTAATCGGTCGACTGATTTGATTGTAAAATTAGATGTTGTAAAAACTCGTTCTGGTCGGTCGACTAGATAGATTTTTAGGTCGACTGAAGACTGACATATCAGATACTTGATTTTTCTTGAAAAGTTAAATTTCTATATTCAAATTAAAATAGCAAATCAACTCCAAAAATAGTAAAACTTGGGGAAACATTTATATATATGAAAATGAACATGTTATAGAAGAAATTTCTAAAACAGCACTTCGCATTTGTGAAAACTCACTATTTTGCAAAACGGTCACAAATACGAGTTTGTTAAATACTTGATTTTGATAAAATTTCTTCAAACAAGTTTTGAGATACTTTCAAATGGATTCATAGACTTTTGAAAAGATGTAAAACAGTATCATTAAGTCTATAATCCGAAACACATTATTTTCCCAAGAAGGCGATAAATAAGAAACTAGTGTGTATGTATATAAATATATCTATTAGTTTCATATTTATATGGCTAAACTTGAAAGCGATAAAATAAAACGTGTATGTGTATGATTTGAGCTTTAAGCATAGCACATAAAATAAAAACCTAAAACTAATAAATACTATACCAAGCTAATGATCTTCATGAAGCTCGATCTTGGTAGCGGGATGAAGCACGATAGTGAGTCTTGATTTGAAATTTGAATGCGCAAAGCTTCATTATGATTTTCATCAACCTCCAAGATATCGACGTTAAGGCGCAAATCCAACCAACCTACGACTTGGATGCATGTGGGAGGAAAACACAAATACTAAAAAACAAGATTAGGAATTGTTTGTTAATCATCAAAACCAGATTAGACAATAGGCTCATAAACATAAGACCTAACAAAAAAGAGAAAGAAAACCAGAGAAACAATAAAAAAACATAGATTTAACGAGGTTCTGCAGTCAATGTTATTACCTGCATTCTCGGGGTTACTGTCAGGTCATGATTCTACAATTAGTCAATCAAATCTCTCAAACCCTAATCTTACCTCCCTATCGTCTCTATTTTTCTCCCCTCAAGATAAACAAATAGGCGGTTGAAGATACATATTTTGTCTATAGGGAAAAATATAAAAATACACTAACCATATCACCACACCTTTTTAGCCCCCGGGGGCTGCCACCCCTTAGGACCCTCGTCTCGAATGGACTTTGTAGGCGTCCTATGATGGGCCTTGGTGACATATTCTCTATGTAAAATCAAGCTCTACAAACAACACTAAACTTTATAAATGGTTGCGGCAGGTCTTGTATAGTTTTGATTCTTTTGAAAGTTCTGGAATTTTCTCTAATTTATAAAAGTTCAGAGGTTTTGTCAAAACACCCCAAGTTCACGGCGGAGTTTGTGGTATTGACCTTTTTAACCATGAAGAGCTTACAAATGTGATATGCTGTCATGACATTTTTAGTTTAACATCTTACCAAGTAGTTGAAGTTTCCATTTTCTCCCCCTGTATGACTAAACATGACATATTTATTTGTTAGATGCCTACCGGGAAAATTGGTGATGGTGATGATGGTGTGATACACAGTCATGAACTGACAAAAGCTATGGATTTCTCAACTCCCTTCGAAGTGAAATCTGAGGATGAAATTGGTTTGCAAAGTGATATAGGTGACCCCCGAAGTCAAATCACAGGTGAGATCACAAGCAAGGAGGAGGGAGAATCTCTGAAAAAATTAGATGCATCAGATAAGGAGTCCGATGATGAGGTTCATGCAGATATTCATGAAGGTTTGCTGTCAGAATTGGATGCTGTTAGTGATTTCTCAGTAGAAAGGAAAGATGAAATAAGCTCCAATTTTGAACTAGGGCAATATGATAAAGTCATCGAAGATTCTCATACTGAAATCCGAGATTCTACAGCCTCATCTATTAAAGATGCTGATATTGGTTCTTCAGACCCTGAGATGACCGTGTATAATCCTAAGCTGCATGTTCTTGAAGCATGCTCCATTGAAGAACTTGATTCAGTCTTTAAGCAACACCATGAAGAAGCTACTGTACCTCCTTCAGACCTTATTGCGGAGAATTCATTAACCTCGGTGACTGAAGAAGAATTGAGTGACCATAAGCCAATTGGCACTGATACAGAGCTTCAAGTTCTAGAAGCAAAATCCATCGAAGACATCAATTCAGCTCTAAAGAGTCTTGGTGAAACAAGCAACCCTCAATCTGAAACATCGGAGATTCGACCAGAAAGAATTTCTTTAGAGCCTGAAGAGATTAACTCAGAGTTGCATGTTATCGAAGCCAAATCTGTTGAAGATATCAGTTCAACTCTGCAGAATCTTAGTGAAGGACTCGGTGAAACTAGCATTTCTCAATCTGAAACATCGAAGATTCAACCGGAGAGAACTAGTTTAGAGTCACCGGAAGAAATTAACTCAGACTTGCATGTTCTTGAAGCAAAATCTGTTGAAGATATCACCTCAGCGCTGAAGAATCTTAGTGAAGATCTTGGTGAATCTAGTATCTCCCAATCTGAAACATTTGAGATTCAACCCGAAAGAACAAATTTAGAGCCAGAAGTGATTAACTCAGAATTGCATGTTCTTGACGCAAAGTCTCTTGAGGACATAGATGTGGCTTTGAAACAAGTCTCAGAAGTCACTCTTGAGGAAAGGCAAGGACACTTAGAGCCTGAACATATAGAAGTAAAATCTGCAGAAGAAATGTAATTGGATTCTATAGAAGCTGATCCTAAGAAAACAAAGTTGGTGATTGAAGCGACAAATGAAAGTGCATTAAGAAAGAAGAAGCTGAGGAAGAAGAAAGCCAGCAAGTCTGGTTCAGATTCAAGCTCAAGCTCGAGTTCAAGTTCAAGTGATTCTGAATAAGTAAAAACTAAAAAGTTAATAAAAAAGAAAAAGAAAAAGGGAATTGTTTCTCATCAAAAAAGAAAAAAGGAATTGTTTCTCATGTGAGGGTTTCTGGGTCTTGAGTTGTTTTAGAAATTTCTTTTGGGTGTTTGGTTTTCATCAGATATAATAGAGTATTCCCTGTCTATTCGAAGGTAATTTGCTTTGGCGGTTCGGAGTCTATTTACTGTATTGTGTGTAAATTACATTGTAAAGCTTTTTGGTGAGTGAAGAAGAGTATTGTTTGTAAAATATTTATACCATGCATTTTGTGCTATTTTGTTGGCTTGTTAGGCAAACAAACAACTGTATTTTTGGCTTTTGTGATTTTGCAGGAGTTAATGTTTTCAAAAAGTTTGTAAAGAGACCACCCGCGGGTGGGACACATGGTTAGCAGCATCATGGGGTAGGTGGACTCCCTAGGTCATTGCGCCATGTTGGTCATGTGTTCGAATCCCCATGCCGTTTCACCTGGTCTCCTTAGGCTTGGGTGGTTGAGACCCGGGGTTTTACTGGACAACTAACTCAACCTGTTGTACGCACACTGGTTCGAGTCCCTTTGGGTTGGCCCTGTATACCCAATAGAGGGTGGAAGGGGCCCCTGAATGAGAGCAGGGTGGTGCCCCGTGCAGGTGTGTGGGCTGGGGGATTTGAATTATGAAGCTGGTAGACTCAAAGAGTTAAAAGTTGAGCGGGCTGGCCAGGGTTCCCTTGTACCAAAAAAAAAGTTTGTAAAGAGAAAAGTAACAAGGTTTCAATATTTGGCAACAGCATCGAAACCTATGGTTATAAGTAATGCAGTGATGCGGCATAAACATGTACCAAAATATTGCAAGTGCATAACCGTGTCAAGTTATAATATAAAAGTTATCGATCCCACGAGGAAGGTGTTTTGTACGAGAAAATATAAATCGGTTCTTATGTTGTGTGCGTGACAATTAGGAGTGATGAGTGAATATGATTGTGGAGAGATGAAGAGAATGAAAATGGTGTGTAAATAGGCGTAAAATGTAAGTGAGAGTGGGTGTGACAATGAATGAATGATTTTCACAAGGAGAGATGAATAAAATCAAGAATCAAAAAGGAAATCAAGAATGATAATAAAATGCAAAAAAGTAAAGATGACGGATTCAGTTAAAGATATGGGTAATCTAGAATTGAATCCACTTCTTAGAAAAAGGTGATTCCCTAGAGGGTTCTAGCCTAAAGGCGAATCAAAGAAAATGAAAATGAACAAAAAGAAAAACTAAACCCAAGAGTGTTCTAGCCTCAAGGTGAATAGTGCAAGAAATTAAAATCTAACTACAAAATAAATTGCAAAATCTAAACTATAAAATAAATTGCAAGAATTAAATACAAGAAAATAAATCTACTCTATAAGCATGAAATAAATCTAATCTATAAGCATGAAATAAATCTAAGGCAAGAGGGTTCTAGCCTCTTAGCTATTTAAACAAGAATAAAATCTAACTACAAGCATGTAAATAAATCTAAACTACTAAGCAATAAGAAAAGAAATAAAAGAGAAAATAAGAAAAACAAACCTCCAAATTAATCTTCATCTCCATCTTCATCATCCAACAAAGAGAAGAAAATTTTAAAGTGATGAAAAAATTATTTTATTAATTATAACAAAAGTTACAAATTTGGAAGGCATTCCCAATTAAGAGTGGTCATCCTCTTCAAATGGAGTTACAAAAATTTTCACACCCTCAACCCCTCACTCTCTACCCCTATTTATAGTAAACATCAATGAATATGAGCCCTTGGATTGAAATCTTATTCAAAACCATCAAAAATCAGCCGTTAATTCGTAACAGAACTGTCAGTATCGATGCCTGCATCGATGCTGGCATCGATGGCCGCATCGATGCTAGCATCGATGTCCTATCAAAATTCTGCCTTCACTGTTGGCTTCGTCTCGTCGAGATAGGTGATTTTCATATATTATATGTTAAATTCCGTTTTCCGGATTGAGAGATATCGTCGTTTCTTTGCGGCTAACTATCTTGAATATATTTTTTTTTCATATTTGATTTTTTTTTATTTTCTCCGGCTTCTACAGGCTACTCGGCTTGATTCTGGGCTTGGGCTTTTTGGCTCTTGCTTGTGTTCTTCATTTAATTCGTGGGGTTTTATTGAGAGAAGAGATCTTAGGCTTTATTCTTTATTAACCTGTAATTAAAGATAAAAATAATTATTAATGTCATATTTATTCATATAAAATAGATAATGAGGATATAAAATTATAATAAAATATGATTATCATGCAGTAAAACTATCAGAAAGTGTAGATGTTATACTCTGCAAACCTTTTTTTTTGGCTGAAATAACTGTAAAAGCATCTCCAACCATGCTCTCCAAATTTCACCCTCCAAATTAGAATATTCTAGGAATATTCTAATTTGGAGAGTGAAATTTGGAGAGTTGCTCCAACCCACACTCTCCAAATATTTTCCTTTTTATTTTTTTGGTCAAAAAAGCCATATAAATTAATAATGTTGGATATAGTTTACATTAATGATTTTATTTTTAATAATTTATTTGGAAAAAAATTTATAATATTATAAATGTGTCGATGAGAGCTTTAAAATGAATCCAATAGTAATAATGCAATATAATATATTAAAAAAATAAAAAATTTAATTTAAAATTTAATAATTTTATAATAATACTAAAATAAATTAATCTTAGTTTCATTTTAAAGATCTCAACGAGACTGTAATAATCCTTTTTTTTTAAAGTAGCAAATTAATTATTTTAGTGGTTAAATATGGAGGCCCACATAATGTAAGGTAAATAAAACATTTATATTTCTCTACCGATCTCTACACTTGATCTGAAAAAAAAAATAAAAATAAAAAGAGAAGAAGAAGAAGGAGAGAAGGCATCGATTATAGTTGACGAGAGAAGGAGACCGGCTATTTGAGGAGAAGGAGTTGTTGGTGCTTACGTTTTCAACGCTAATCGGCAAGCATATTTATTCTTTTAACTCTTTAATTGGTCTCTTTATTATTTTTCATAATTGACACATGTTCATCTCCTTGTCTGTTTTACAAATTTCAGAAAATTTCAGTTTTAAATATATTTCATCCTTTTTATTTGGTCTTGATCATTATCCTCAAAGATTGATTTACTTATTTCTGCAGTAGTTGAGATATATAACATTAGATTTTGAGGTCTGTAACCGGTTCCAAGTTATACATGTTGGCTGTATGTTATGTTTCTGATTTTCGAAGTCTAATGTATCGGTCCTAGTGTCTGACTTTTTATACACGAGGACTAGATGTTTATAACTCATTAGGAGAGAAAATGTATACCTATGACAGCTATATAACATTAACGGCAACCAATATTAGTTCACTTATCAGTCTTTGAGTAGGTCTCCAATTAATAATCTCTATGACGAATCTTCACCTTGACAATGACTATAATGTTTGACCTGTTCTCCTTGTTGTCCTCAATTATTATTTTTATTTATTTTCATTTTTGTATTTTTTATATATCATTAGGAGAAACATCATGCTGATGACTAACCTAGGATTTGATAATGAACCAAGAGAATATCTCTGATTGTAGCATGCACCCAATCCCATATCCCTTGATGTGTGCTAAACTTTTCTCCTTTCATAGAACGACTCATGTTATTTCTTGACTGAAACCGTATAACCCATCACATTAACAATTTAGCAGGCCTTCTGATCTTTGAGTACGACCCGGCTGAGAGAAGTCTACTTGTGCTAGGTTACAGTTTGTTTCCAAAAGTGAAGCATGTTCTCTAATGATAGTATAAGTAGCAATGACATTTATGTCTAGAGATTATAAGCTTTTAGCCGAAACCTCATCGAAATCTCATTTGCTTTATGTGACCCACCTACCTAATTTCACAATAAGACACTAAGTGATGTTTAATAAAATTCAAACGACAACTACCTTATCCTTATGAGATACTATACTGAATACAATATTGCCTCTATTTGTAACTTTTTCCTATGTGTACTTGTAAAGCTATGATTTTGATACACTCCTTTCTTTGTAAACTCTTCCTGTATGCTCTATACACAAAGTTCTTGTACTTTTGTACACTCTGTATAATCAACACTGTCAATACTCACTAACTATTAAAGAAGGCAAGATTAAGTGGCAAACCACTATGACTTGATGATGAGTTGATGACGTTTTATGTGCTATGATTTTGTTACTTGATCACCTAGTTGTTATCCAATAGGAGAGACTGTGCATGAATACGACTCCTGTTAAAAATATGATTTATAAGCGTGCTTTCATAGCATGGCTATGCTCTCGATATCGACATCCCGATATGAGAGTTCCTGGGCTATTACTATTATAGCATCGACTAGACGGTGCACCTCTCTTGATTGGACATGTTCTGGGTCACGGTTATTTTCATAGTTTTACAGAAGTCGTTCCACGGTAACTCTGTGGTTAGTGCACAACATTTCATGCACAGTCACTTAAAAATTTAATCGACAAATATGGGGTGTATAAGGGGAATTAGACGGAGAATATAGCATGTATATAAACGGGCATATGCGCATTCCTGATATCCTGAGTTATATATATACATGGGCCAAAGAGCCAATTCCTGACTTGAAGCCGTGTTCCCGGGACGGTTTACGGGGAACCGATTTATATACATGAAATTATTTTTCTCTAATTCAAATAACATGTAAAATAAGAATAATGTGCTTATATGCTTTGTGACAGATTTGGCATGCACGACATGTCCTGGATGAGGTTTTGGTGATTGTATATTGATATTGTTGTGTATAGAATTTTGGGAGTTAATATTTAGAGATTTACAATTTGAGATATATGGTATATACGAGGGTTTCCTTGTTTGGATTATTCCCTCGACGTACTCATCTCATGTTGTGGGTTTCTAAATCTTAACTCCTTTTAGTATAGGGTATAAGATATGTGCTTGAGGTAGACCACGATTGATATATACAATTAGCAATTTTCCCCAGTCATCTTTAATTGAGCTTTCATCATATTTTGGTTTATAAGATAGGCATTTTCTTTTATCACTAAAAATTTAGAATTTTCTTTTCTTTATATCTATCATTTATACTTACACGCTCATAATTTCCTCATTTTACATGCTTGCTGGGAGTTTTCTGACTCCCCTGGGGGTTGCATGCCCCAGACTCGGGAATTGTTCTTTCTTCGCAGGACCAAGAGTACTTAAGGATTAAGACCAGCGACAGTGATCACCTTCTCTCTCTTCACTTTCTCAGCTTCAGTTATTGAGTCTTTCTTGTAATCACGTGTGGTACTCTAGACTAAGATGTATTTTTCCTCTTTCCTACATTGAAAAGTTGTGGACATGTAAGAGAATTTGTCTTTTCAGAGTTTCTTTATCCATCTAGTTCCTTTGTTATTTTAGTTGCATGCTCTATGTAATAGTTCTTTTAGCAATATTTCTGTATACAGGATGATCCAGAGGCGTGAATGTAACCGTATGGTTGCATTGCCGACCGAGTCACGCTCCAAATTATCACGTTTTGGACCCGGGGCGTGACAGAGACCTTTCCAAATATATAATGTTTTCAAATATTAGATTAATAATTTTTTAACTATATTTATTTGAAATTAAACATCTAATTTAAATTACTAAGAATGATGGCAAAGTGGTAATGTTTAAGAAATTAAGTAGTTAAAAATGGCAAAGTTGTAATTAATGAATAGTATTATGGAGAGACTCTCCAAAAAGGGCGAAATTTGGAGATCTCCAAATTTGGAGAGTGGTTGGAAATGTTCCACTCTCCAAATTTGGAGATTTTGCCTTTTTAGAGGCCAGTTGGAAATGCTCTAAGCGTATGTGGTTCTATTAAATCCAAGTTTTACTTTGTTAAGCATAGGCCTATAGACTTGGTGAAAAAAATTGTCTATTTCAATATCTTTTTTATTGTTTATCTTTTACATTTTGGATCCAAGCTCAGATCAACTGAGCTTAAGAGAACAGGATGTTCACATATAAATAATAAATAAAGCAACTTTAAGTATTCAACTTGTTTACTTCAGGTAATAAATATTACTTATTTATGGTACTGATAAAACTAGGATATGGTTGAATATATCTCGCGTATTAACGCAAGTTAGACGTCATTTATATGCCATTCCTTACTATATGTGTTAGATTTATTTCTTGTCACATAGATCATGTTATAGCCAAATTTGGTTTAATGCGTGTAAATAATTAAATTTGTATAAGCTAGATGGATGGTGAATGGTGATGAAATAAGATTATTATTATTAGAACTTGGTCAATAGTTACTCAATTTGATAATTTAGAGCACACATTTTATCAGAACCGCCCATATGCTACTAGCATGCAGACAGTTTTGATAAAATGTGTATACTCGATAATTTGTAATCTCACGTATTAACGCAAGTTAGACGTCATTTATATGTCATTCCTTACTATATGTGTTAGATTTATTTCTTGTCACATAGATCATGTTATAGCCAAATTTGGTTTAATGCGTGTAAATAATTAAATTTGTATAAGCTAGATGGATGGTGAATGGTGATGAAATAAGATTATTATTATTAGAACTTGGTCAATAGTTACTCAATTTGATAATTTAGAGCACGCATTTTATCAGAACCGCCCATATGCTACTAGCATGCAGACAGTTTTGATAAAATGTGTATACTCGATAATTTGTACTACCCATCTCATAAAATCTATGTATATAAATGATCATGAGGTTAGATTTTTCTAATTAATAAATCAATTATTCATAAACCCATTCTATGCTCCCCCGACCCCCCACCCCCACCCCCCAAGAAAAAAGAGAAATCATTTGATTCCTTTACTAAAGCTCCCCCGACCCCCCACCCCCACCCCCCAAGAAAAAAGAGAAATCATTTGATTCCTTTACTAAATTATTATTAGTCTTTGCCGGCATAATCAGATGATTGGTTTCTCGAGTCAAATTAGACGTGGGTTGTGATCACAGTTCTTTTTGGTTTTTATTTAGTCCCTTAATACTTAGTATTTTGAAATTAGTCCTCAAAGCATTGAAATAAATTAGTCCCTTTGCTAGAAATTTCTTCAACAGTACTAATCTTGATTGAGTTGGTATTTAACCGTGAACAATTGACCATTTTACTGCTTACCAGTTACATTCGGGAGAAGGATTAGTAGTAGTGGACAAATTTTCAAAACCAACCCCTTTCATTATTTATTTTCAAAAAACGACCGCTTTTGCAAAAAATAAATAAATAAATAACCGACCTGGTTTCAGCCTTGGAGCTGAAACCGGGTCGGTTTTTGAAAATTTTTATCCTAAACTTCATGAGAGTTGTTTCGTAGTTTAATTTTTTTTTTGAACTACGAAACTTCACGGGAGTTCAACTCCCGTGAAGTTTCCGAAGTATTTTCAAAAAAACCGACCTGGTTTCAGCGCCAAGGCTGAAACCATGTCGGTTTTTGCAATTAAGTTTAAAAGGGGTTGTTTTCTGGGATTAAATTTCCAAATAGGTTGGTTTTGAAAATTTATCCTAGTAGTAGTAGTTATAGAAAGGGTTAGAGGAGGGTCTGATGGGGGGAGAAAGATGTTTAAATGTATGTGGATTTTAAATGAATATGGAGTACTGGATTCCATTAAAATGAATATGGTAAACATACAGATATAATCCAGTGTTTCATAAAAAAAATAAAAAAAAAAAACTTACAATGAATATTTTCTCCAAAATCAATCGGTAACAAACTAAATAGACTAATTCGGAAACGAATTTAAATTATATGGAAGACCTAACAGCAATTTCAATTTCAAGGATTTAAAGCACTACTACTGATGTATTGGCCTAATTTCTAGGAAAAACCTTTTTTTTCGCTTAAATTTTTTTTTTTTTTGTTTTTGGGGAAATAAAAACAAAAGTCACGTTGTCTGTTTGACCATTTCCTTGTCAAAGAGAAATGTGCTCCACTCCGTAGAACCATAGACACCTCTCTACGCCCCCCCAAATTTTTTTTTTATAAAATTTTTTGTTTCTCTTCATTTCGATTGAGTGAGAGAGAGAGAGAGAGAGACCATCGAAATTAGAAAAGAGCGCAGATAAAATTCTCGATCTCGATATGTTATCACCGAGCAAACAATAGGAGTTGTGATTTAATCGACGATCTCAATCTGTTCTCTCTCGGTCTCAGGTTTGATCCCCAATCCAATCGCCACTAGTCATTTTGTTCCCAATTATGGTTGTTATAAACCCTAGATTGGCATTTTACGTTACGTTTTTTTTTTGCTAATCATATTTGTGGCTGATTCTAAAACTTCACGTGATCGTGAAAGAATCGTCATAAATATAATACGAACGTCTATTGCTTATAAGTTGAACTTATTGTTAAGTAATTGGAAATACTAATCAAGGGGATCTGGAATGATTCAAAATGATAATATTTATGAACTTGCGCGTCATTTGAACTAATTGAGCAATCATGAGGAAACACGAAGAAGAAGAAGACCATTAGATGTTAAAATGAGATGGTAAGATGAGATTTTGATCATGAGACGAACCATAAGGTTATTCAATTCAGTGGTCAGCACCATTCATCTCGATTTAAATTTCGGACAGATTTGTGTGTGTGAGTATCTGTAAAAGTCATGATCTTGTAATTGGATAGTTTTAGAAATGAAAGATTTACTTTATTGGACTACTTTGATATCTACTTTAGAAGTCTCCAGACTAACCAAATCTATAAGTACATGGTTTGGTAATGTGGCAAACAAGTTGGATGGTTCCGATATCATCAACTTGCATAAACAATTGCTAATTTGCTAGCTCATAGTAAGGATTCAACTCATTTAGCAATTGCTAAATGAGCTTCCAAGAGATAAGAGTGGGGACAGCCGGATACCTCAATCAGACTAGTAGGTTGGGTCTCACTACTAGTCCATCTCCTGGTAGCTAATTTAGCAAAATGTAATGTCACCTCATACCCATTTTTTACACACCCACACAGATTACAAACACACACACACATACATACATATAACGATACCAGTTAAAATCACATGTAGTAAGCGCACGTAGTGAGAAATTTAAAATTTGTAAATAGTATATTTTTTAATAGAAAATATGTTTATAGTTTCATATTTTTCTCCTAATCTTTTGAAGAAAGTAATAAATTAGCTTTAGATATTCATGCAAATTTCTAATTAGAAACTAATATTCAAACCATAACCTATTTAATTTTAACTAAATTTCTTCATGAAGTATAATAATATCTAAGTCATTGACCATCAATCATGATTAATAGACATTCATAGTTCTAGAGAAAAAAAATTCTAGAAAACATATCCGACTCAAAACATGAGTTTAGTACAATGAGCAATGACAAAAGATAAGAATATCGTTAGAATATAGGAAATAATCCATAAATTTATTTAGTATCATGTTAGTTAAATTTAATTCCTTTGAACCTTCTTAAAGTAATTAGAGATGCTTCACAAGAAAGAAAATAAAAGTAAGAATTTTCTTTATAATTACTATCCTCTTTATTTGGGATTAAGTTTTTCTAGCTTCCTTACACTTTAAAAAAGAATCCACTCAAAGTTGATGAATGCTATTGATATATTCAAAACTATTCAATAATTCAAAATCGTTCAGAGGAAAAGTGATTTTGGTGCTTTTATAAGTTGCGTTTACATGTATGAGAAAGCCTCCCTTAAGTGTCAAATTTTTTATCAAGGAAATATGTAGATTCATCGATTTTACGAATTTATTGTGCAAATTGTGGATTCAAATATGTAGTGCATTGGTGTTTTGTGAATTGTAGGGAATGTTTTCAATAGGCAAAAGTATTTGTTTCAGTTTGCCCAACATTAGGTATCATGCACCAAATCAGAATTTAAAGAAAAATTCAAATAGATGGTAATCCAAAAAAAATAAGTTACACGTGTTGAGTGTGACTCTACACTCTTTACATGTTCAAATTTGAAATGAGTACTTATTGCTGTCATGGTTTATGAAAGTTAATTTTTAGTGAAATTTATGCAATATGTTTTAATACAAATCTGATGGCTAGCATATATATTTGGAGATCAAATATTTTATTTCTTAATCAGCCTTTTCCCTTGAATATAAGATCTAAAAGGTATGCTTACATTGTTCGCTCAGTTTTTCTGGAGTGTTGTGTGATTTTTTTATCTCAATGACGTTTGATGAAAGCGAAAAGTTGAAAAAAGCAGTTCTTTATCAATTCTAATTATGAATGATGCTGATTAATCTGATGCTAGGAGAATGTTCTAAGACAGGGAGGATGGGAAAAGGCCAACACTTTGTCATAGTGTTAAAGTTATAGTGTTATATATAAATTTTGTTTAGCACTTTAGAATGGTATCCTTAAGTTCTAACAACATTAAAATGCGTCTTTCTCGGAGAGGAGCTTGGATGTGTCATGTGTGGGATCATTAGGTGTTAGAGGAGAACTTGGGAGACCCTTATACGAGACTATTAAAATAGAGTAAAAAACCACATTGCTTAACAGAGGTGGATATAAGTTTTTGTTCATTTAGTTAAAGGTTAGAATTGCATATGCAAAATAAAAATGTAAGAGTAGTAAGAGTAGTCTAATAAATAAGAACATGAAGTTAAAGATTGTGTGCACATATAATATTCAATATAGGAAAATATTCAAATATTAATCTCATTATTGAATATAAACTTGCAATACGATTCATCTATATAAAGTGTTTGTTTAACTAAATGAATGCTAAGCATTTGCCAAAAATCATTATGATTATGTTTTTATAGTGCATTATCCCAACGATATGCAACAAAACACCGCAATATGCTTTGAGGAGCAACCAAACCAACTTCATAATGAGTTCACATAGACTGGAGTGCATAATTCGGAATTGACATAAACATACCAACACAAGTTAAACTTATGTTCAAATGAACTATTTGGTCATTTAAAATGAGGTGTTTTTTTTTGTTACATTCATTCTCAACAATCCATTATCTATCAAGATGATCTGATCACCTAGCAAGTGATATAATGTTCTTTTAGTTTTATCTGATAGCTAGAATAGGATACAATTGAAACTGCATCATGGAGTGTTATGTGTCTGGATTGTATTTAGCATAAATCGAGATATGTTGTAGCCCATCATGGGGTTAAATCTGAACTAAGTGCAAGATTTTACTTGTATGAACGTGCAATTGTGCATCATATTTACTAGGAGTCTAGGATTATGCACCAACCACATTGTGGTATTTTCTTCAAATTTCTTAGAGATGATGTAGCAGGACATGCGCCCGCGCACGCACACACACAAAAATAAAAACATACACACCCCCCCCCCAAAAAAAAAAAAAAAAAAAAAAAAAAAAAAACACCCCTTCTCTCTGCCTCCCTCCCTCCTTATATTTTAGGTCCTGGGGTTAACACACATAAACAAAAATTTCCAAATAATTATATAGAACTAAAGGGACCTAACCATATATTCTATTTTTACCTTATTAGAGTGAAAAAAAATTATTTGTTCTTGATCAGTGGGCTGACAATTAGCTTGATAAATTAGATAGTGCTAAGAAAGTTGTATATATATTTTCGACTTCTTCCCTGTATATCTTAAAGGAAAAGAGTGGTTTCCTATAAAATCCTGGAAACTAGTTTGCATCTAGTAGAGGAACCTTTCTAAACACGTGAATTACATTTCATGCTGCAATATGAAGGTGTACTCTTTTTCACTTCCTGAACCAGGTGTTCCACTTGTATGGAACTTTCTTCCAATCCTTTCATATCAGACCATTAGAGCAGCAAACTGGATTATGGTCCAAAGGCTATTCCTTTATTTTACCATCTGTACTTGGGCTTATGCTCAAGTTGAAACTATCAGCACGTTGAACTTCTTTTTAAATTCTTATGATGTGTAAATTCCAACCAATCCTTAAAGCTACGATACATATTTTTGTACGGTTAAAAAGCTTGGATCAAGTTCCAACTTCAACAAGGTTTAAACCTTTTTTCACGTGATTATCCTTGAGATGTTGGTTGGATTGTGAGTAGCAGATTAATAAAGCACCATGAATTTTCTATACTTTTCATGCAACTAGCAGGTAACAAAGCAAGCATACTGAATAATGTTTTCTAAGGAATAACAAGCGTCCTATAATTTTCTCTTGCAGATGTGAACATTTTTATTATTTGTCCTATAAAGCAGTTGCTAATTATGAAGCTACTACATTTGACTGTTCCATCAAGGAAAGAGTTGTTTACCATGATTAGTAAATACGTCATCTACTAGTACTTTTAAGGCCCAAAAATTAGTTGCTTTCAGATTTACTTGACCTTTAATCAACTTAACATCTGTCCTTATCGAACTCTATGACATACAGCACTGCATATTTGATTTGAAGCTGTTATATTACAACAACAAGAACACCAACTGTATATTGATAAGTTACTACTTTGATGATTGCAGTGACTTATATTTTTTAAGTAAAAATTTGTTATTCATGTAACAACCCATTGTTAAGGGGAAATTTTGATTGAATTCAAATGTTATTGTTTATTGGTTCCTGAAATATTCATCCTAATAACTTAATTGCCAAATTAGGTCTTTCTTTTACTTCTGTCATTTACCTTTGCAGAACTTTGTCATTATATCCTTAGTTTACATTATTATGGAAAATACTTGACGTTGTATTTACCTCTTTTGCAGAATTTTCTTTGCCAAAAGGAACAAAGGGAAATAAGAGACATGGCGTCTGAAGCAAAGGAAATCATAGTACTTCTCAGACAAATATTATGGTTTTCCATGAGAAACATTTACAGATTGGGTCGTGATCATCCTTTTGTTTGGGGCACGACATTTTTCTTGCTTCTACTATATAGATATCTTCCATCTGTATTTGGTTTTGTTCTTTATTCGTCCCCTGTTGTTGTTTGCACTGCCCTTCTTCTTGGAACTCTTCTCCTTTACGCAGATCCTAATCTTCCTGAAACAGAAGAGGTACGAAATATCAAGGGATCTAAAAATTCTCAAACTGGTTTTAGTGAAGGTAAGAGCTTCTCAGTGGAGAACCATGTGGCAAAACATGCAGCACACTTGAGGAAAGATCATAATTCTTCTTCTGAATCTGAATCTGAATCTGAATCTGATCATTCAGAATCCGGGTCTGATATCATTCCTATGCTTGATGAGCTTCACCCACTTTTAGATATTGATGCTCCTCAGACTGCAAGATCTGTTGATAATTCAGATGCTGCCTCTAGTGGAGATTCCGGGGATCAAGAATCAGATGATGGTAGCATTGAGGACGAAACTGAAATCCAAGAAGATGAAGAAGAAGATGAAGCACAGGAGGAGAAAGATGATGCCAACGAAGTCGTGTTAAAATGGACCGCCGATGATCAGAAGAATCTCATGGATCTTGGGACTTCTGAGCTGGAAAGGAACCAGAGGTTGGAGAACTTGATTGCAAAAAGAAAAGCAAGGAAATTTCTTAGTTTTCATGCTCAGAGAAATTTAATAGATTTTGATTGTGATGATCCCGTGCCAAGTAATTTTCAGATACAACCCATATCTGCACTGAGAAGAAACCCTTTTGATATTCCCTTTGAAGAGGAAAGTACAGGTTTACCCTCTGTTCCCGGTTCAGCCCCGTCAGTTTTGCAACCGAGAAGAAACCCATTTGATATTCCTTATGATGAAGAAGGAAATAGTAGCCTCAACAGAGTTACTATGCGACAAGAATTTGTGCCTTTCTCCCTCGGTGCACCATCTTCTGCGGGTATTAAGCAAGAAGAACTTGGTTCTTTTTTGAAACCATTTTTTGTTGCTGATAGAATTAATTCAGATGGTCCAGGATTTGTGACAAAGGTTAGTTCTGCCCATGAATCTGATACGAATTCATCAGATACTGATCATGATGATCACATGGACCGAGTAGAACCTGTAGAGAGATATAGTCAATCGTCCGAGGAAGTTGATTCTGTTGATGCCCCTCGTGAGCAAATCGGGGTTGATGAAGGTATAACCATGGGTTTTAATGCTTCTAATGATGCAGTTGAAATGGAGCTTAGACAAGGTGAATATAGTTTACCCAATTTAGACGCTGAGAAATTGGAGGTTATAGAAGAGAGATACGATGATTCAAGCTCCTCTTCATCAGAAGGACACTCAGAAATTAATCATGAATCTACAAGGGCAACTGAGATGATTATTGACAGTCAAGGTATTGATCCGGTATATGATTCTAGTCCTTCTGCAGTTGCAAAATCCATCTCTAACACTTCGACACATGATGATGAAGATGCTTTACCATTTGACGGTAAGACAATTTTACTCCCTAAGCTTAGAAAATAAAAAATTTAGGGTTCTTTAGATTTTAGTCCCTCAAGTCTTTAATAATTCCACATTAGTCCCTCGCACTGTTGAAATTTCCTATAGATCCCTCAAATCTTAAGGTGTCTTGCAAATTGGTCCCTCAATTAACGAAGTACCCCTCAACACATGTTTTAGTCCAAATACCACATAGTTTGTAAAAACATAAGCGGGATATTTCGGTAATTGAGGGACCAAATTACAACAATTTCAGAGATTTGAGGGACTAGTATGGATTTATTGAAGATTTGAGGACTAATATCTAGAAAACCCAATATTTTATCATCTAAATCATTGATTCATATTTCTACTATGTAGGGTTCCAAACAGCTCCACAAGACAGAGGTATATGGGTAGCACCATCGAGCTTATCTTTCGTAGATGAGATCGAATCAAGATCAAGGGAGATAAACGAAATCAAGGAACAGGATGTCCTCCAAGTTGAAGTACCTGGAATCAGCGAAGATTTTGCTCATCCAATGTCCCCTGTGCTTCCAAAATTTGTCCTTCCTTCACCTTTGTTTGTGAGTTCGAGTGATAATGACAATGAAGGAGATGAAATAATTAATAATACTTCAACTGGAAAACCACTGACACCAAGGGAGGCGCCAATAATATCGCAATCTGATAAAGCTGGTGATAAACTATTAAATATTGCGGATTTGCCATCAATTCCTGAAGATGAGCAGGAGACCAAAATTGAACAAGCTGCAGCTTCTTCGGCTTTGACTGGTATTGAGGAGCCTAGTGAAGGTTTATCTGAGGATAATCACCTAGCTGCTGATGGAAGTACTTTAGATATTGTATCGAGTATTGAACAAAGTGATAAAACCTCAAATGGATCCGTAAAGGTAAAGGTAAAGGGGAGCTCTAAAGGCTTTGGAAAGATGAAGAATATCGCAAAGTTCTGGTGATTATAATTCAAACTTAGATTCTGTTGTAGCTCAAGTTATTTTGAGCAAGTTTAGAGATATAACTGCAAATGGAAAAGAATTTTTGAATGCATAGGTTCTTCTTTCTCCTTGTTCTACTCCTTGCATAGCTTTCCTTCAATTCGCTTGTTCTGTCTGTGAAAACCATATTACTCCTTGTATATCTGTGTCAAAGATAAATCTCATAAGGTCTTATTGGTCTGAAAGTATCGTTACGCAAGCATCAATCCCATAAAGCTTCATGCATATTTTGTTCCATCAAATTTGGCAGGTCCTGTACCAAATTAAATTCCATCCAATATTTTTTGAGAACTTCTCTTAATATCTAGTTTAGAAACCCTGAACTTTGGATTCAGATCCTCTCTAATTAGGTGGTAATTGGATTCAGATCCTCTCCAATTAGGTGGTAATTGGAGATGGGTCTAATTCTTACAGTTTTACCGTCTATCTCAATTCCAATGGATGAGATCGCGCCACGTAATATTTTCACTAGTGGTTTTGATTGTAGTAGCTTTCAAGTTTGCTAGTGGTTTTCAAGATCAAAGTGGTTTTCATAATAACAATGGAGACCTTACATGGTGTGATCTCATCCACTGAAAGTGGTATAGACGATAATGATTGAGAGAATTTGACCCTCTTTAATTACCACCTAATTGGAGAGAATCTAGATTCCTGAACTTTTGTGCTTAAGTTATTTCTAGCATGCACAATACATGAAAATCACCTTGCTTATGTGTAAAAACATGCTCCTGTTTCTTTTCTTCCAAATAGGCAAATTGTACAGTGTAACAGTGGTCACAGCCTTTTTTTTTTAAAATTGTGATTACCGTCTGATATTTAGTGGATATTTGTGAATTCTCCTATAGATATTTCAAATGTTAGATATTTCAAACATTTGAAATATCTTGACGAAGAACTACAAATATGTCGAAGAGTATCTATTTATATCACCTATTAGGGATATTTTTATTTTACTCGAGCTATTGTGTTTTTTTTTTCTATTATCACTTCGTAAATCCATACTATTGATGAATAGCATTGACTTATATGCACATGGTTTGTCATATTCAGGGTTATATATGTATCCAAGGTTTGACCTCTTGGTAATAATGCTCCATTTTGAAGTTCATGCCCACTCGTTGCTTCCACCATTTGAACATTTGAAAACTGTTTTCTCCCTGAAACAGTCCCGCTCGCTGAGTCGGTTAGGTTTTATGCAAGTTGCAAGCACTTTGATCTGATTCTGATATGATTTCTTGGTTATGTATGATGTTGTCTCTAGCCCTGAAACAAAGGAACTCGTCGGTAGGGATGCAAAATGATACATGTATCCGCAGATATATCTGCATCTACATTCAATAGGATAAGGCGATATAGTTACCGATATTGTTATGTTGGTCATGCAAATGAAATTATTTTGTATTAAACTA